TTATTCTGGATATTCATATAAAATGGAGTCATACAATATGTGGCCTTTGTAAGTGGATTCTATCACTCAGTATAATGCTTTCAGGGCTCATCCAAATTGTAACATTCCTATACTTCATTCCTTTTTACGGAAAAATATTATTCCATTTTATGGATATACCTGGTTTGTTTATCCATTCATAGGTTGACGGACATTTGGATTGTTTCCAATTTCTAGAAAATTCTTCTGGAAACTTTTATTTCAATGAAGTCCAGTTTATGTAGTCTTTGTCAATGTGCTTTTAATACAAAGTCTTTTAAAACTGTTCCCCGCCCCCTTTTTTTGCTCAGGGCAAATAATTTTAAGGATAGAGCACATGAATATTCAACATTAAAAGATAAATGAAAACAAACTCCAAATAAGAACCTTGAATTCTTCCAGTCCCACGTAGTCTGTCTGATCTCAGAGAATAGATCTCTAAATGACTGCTACATAGACTTGACTTCATTTCTTTCTCCCTTAGGAAAAGAGTTAGAAGAGCTCCCAGTCAGAGAAGGTTAGACCATGCCTCCATGCACTGCCTCTGCAAATACATGACAGGAACAAGAGAAACAGAATATTTCCCATAGCTGGCATATAAAACTTACTTAATTTTGGATTTATGAAGTTTGGCATAAGACATGTAGGAATTGCAATTGGCCTATTTTGAATATTAAAATGACACAAGATTATTGGACCTAAAGTTCTCCAGAAGAAGGGTGACGTTGCCAACTAAATTCTCTCCTACTGCTGTGAAAACAGTCTCCAATCTTCACCTCTCTTGTACCTCTGCCTTGTGTCTTGGAGGTGGTCACGGTTTTGTATATCAGAAAAGGCAGTGAATGAATGAGAAGGCATTTGGAATTAGGTCCCTAGAAAACAGCCCCTGCCTTTTGCACTGTGGGAGAAGGGGAAGGTGCCATTCCCACTGTAGTCTATACAACATGCCCAGGTGCATAAGGCGATCTTTCAGCTTTTCAGTTTTCCTTCCCATGGTATGGGGCGCACTAAAAAGGCAACACATTCAAGAACCCAGCCTGCTAAAGGTCTTTGCCTCCAACATTCTTTCAAGTTATCCACGACCATGAGGAGCACAACTATGGTGAATTTGGGTCTTTACAAGTTTAAAACAAAGAGAAGTGGCTTTGGATTCAGAAGATCAGAGCTTTAATCTTGATCAGCCACATGTTAATTGTGTGTTCTTGGTCATGTTCTTACCTTGCCTGAGATAGTGTTCTCATCTGTAAAACAGGAATGATAGATTCACAGAATTGCTAAGGTGATTAATTAAGGTAACATAGGTAAAGTTCCTAGCATACAGTAAGCACTTAATCAATGTGAGCTCCTCTAAATGAAAATAATACATCCTAAAACCCATTAGATTTAGACTATGGAGCTGCACTGTCCAATATGGTAGCTACTAGCAAAATGTGGCTATTAATTAATTGAAATTACCTAGACTTTAAAATTCAGTTCTCAAAGTTCAATAATCATGTGACTAGTGACTACATATTGAACAGCATCAATATTTTATCATCGCCATGATCACAGAAAACTCTGTTGGGCAGTGATGCAATAGAAGTGATAGAAATACATAAGAAACAGAAGTCCAGAAGCCTAAATTTTTGACACTAACTATATAACTTTAGTGGAGCACTTTTATCCCACTATGTCACAATTTCCTCAATGGTAAAATGGAATAATGCCTTTGCAGCAATGTTATTGGGATCAGGTGCACTGAAATCACTTTTTTCCTTGATTTCTCATCATCTTCCCAGGACCCCAAGATTAAATTATGCACAACACAGTCTCCAGCAAGGACCACTTTGAGGACGACTTGATAGGTACAGCTCTTTGGGAGTTTAATATTCATAGCCATGATTTGGTATTACTCCAACACACCTGTAAGTAGTTAAGAATAGCATATGTTTAGAAGCTCACCAAGCTACCTGCAGGCAGTTCTCGTGACGGAGAGACACAAATGAACATAAGTGAATAAGTTTTCATTGGCAAATGGCCTTTTGTAGACTAGTAAGTTCTCACAGGGTTTAAAATGGAAAGATCAAAGATATTTCCTAACTTATTCATTTGTTTCACTTTAATGCCTAAATCTGCCTTTTCCAGGTTTGGAAACCATAATCTCTTGATGTCATTTTGGGGGTAACGTATTTTTTAAATTTATCTACAGAAGGGGTTGGCAAACCTTTGCTGTAAAGAGCCAAATAGTAAATATTTTAGGGCCATAAGGTCTCTATCACACTACTTAACTCTGCTCTTGAAGCATGAAAGCAACCATAGGCAATATGTAAATAATGGGCATGGCTGTGCCAATAAACTTCATTTACTTAAATGGTCCTGCTGGCCTTGGTTCACCAACTCCAGATCCAGAAGGATATACAGAACATACCTTTCCCAACTCTCCCATATTATTTTTCACCACTGTTATATTTTTTTAATTTATTTTAATTTTTGAACATACCGCATCCTGCAAATGATCACAAACATTTAAATGTTTAACTTAGAAATGTCCAAACATAATTTTTCTTCTAATTTTATTAAGGCCTTGAATAAAAAACAATGTAATTCTTTAGGATAACGTTTTTTCCCTCAAGAAATTGAGCGGAATGGACATAGCATATAAATTGCAAAAGAACTAATTAAAAGTGATTCACAGATCTAGTCAGGTCATTTAAAGTTTCCTGGCTACTTTACTAATTCATGAATTGAATTACAACTTAAATAGAAAACTAAAATTGAGCTAAGTGCTTAAATGCCATTGTTTCTTATGTGGACATTACTGCTTGAGACAAACAAATCAAGGTCAATATTTAGATAATTCAAGCAGCATCTATACAAAAAACCCAGTAACTTGTATGCATGGGTAAAAATGGACTCCAAAGAACCGGTGAGAAATTGATAGAATAGAATCATGAAATTTTAGAGTTGGAATTGTCCTTATGGAATAATTTGTTCAACCTCCTTGCTTTACGGTTGATGGGTGTGGTTGACATCTCTTATTTTTCCTTCCCAGAAATATACCATTTCTTCTGATTAGAGCACCAATTTTCCTTACAGAACCACCTCCTCCCTCCCTTACTCCCAGCTTGGTAGTCTGGGTGAGGCTGGTCTCATCCTCAGGCCAACAGGTGTACTCATCAGAGCCCCGAAAACTCCTGGCCAGAAGGACTGGTTCAGGAGAAGGTTCCTGACCCAAAATTGGTCACTCAATTCTGGGATGTCTCTTGGAACTACCAGGAGAGAAAAGCCTCCTTGTTTCCTCTTTCCTTTCTCCCATTCTCACTCTTTTTCTTTCTTTTATTATCTATCCTTCCCCACCCCCCCACTCTCCTTCTCTCTTAGGGATGCTAAGCTTGAGAATACGTACTTGGGATGGCCAGCAGCCTCCTTTCCACATTGTAGAAATGACTGCTGAGAACGAAACCAGCACAGAGACAAGCTGGTCCGACATGCAGAGTCCAAGTTCTGACGGCTTTGAGTCTCTGGATCCACCCTTCACTGTGACCAGAAACCTCAGTCTTTTATAAATCGCCAGAGCACAACAGTTCTCCCCCTTTTTTCTTAAGCTTGAGTTGGGTTTTTGTCACTACGAGAGAGCCTGGACAAATACAATAGGCTAATCAACTCAAATAAGTGAATGTTGATAAGTGGGAAGGTCGAGACTTTAGTCTCCTCTAAATCTGACGCTTGTTCTAGGAGACTGACACGGTAGGCTAGCAAGTCTGTTAAAATCTTGCATGCAAAGCAGTTTACATCAAAAGTGTGTACTACTCTGTAAGCTCCTTGGACACCGGGTACCATGTTTAGATTGTCACCTCCTTTCATGAATACTCTTGCTTAGGATGAGGCCAAGGTTAAAAAATATTGATCAGATATAAAGGAAACTATTTTTCATATTTACACGTAGTACAAGTGAGACAAAGACTTGAAGGGGATGCTGAAGGTCAGAAATAGAGGGCACGCTGGTGTAGGTAATCTAGGGAGGACTTCAGATCTACCACTGACGCAAACTGCCTGGATTCTGCTCTGTGCCATCAGTCAGGAGAGCTGGGTCTACACACACACACCAGTAAGTCATTCTACAAATACTGATGGAATCTATACTGTGCTCAGCACCACGGATAGCATTTGAGTAACATGAACTCAGACACTTGGAGCTTCCAGGAAAAGAAAAGCTTAATTCTAACAACCACTTATTTGAAAATAAAGGGCTCTTTGCTTGTTATAACCCTTTTACAAAATAATGATGTGAATGATTTAATTCCTTTATCCCTTCCTCCAAATTAGATTGATTAGAAACATCGATATATACAGCGAGTGAACACAGGCCTTTACAAAGGACAAAAAATTCAAATATGCTGGTTTTTGTCTAATTGACAAAATATATATTATTTCTATTACCATACTAACTAGCTATTAAGCTGTCAAAAACAAAAACACACCTAAAGAGACATCATTAATATTTTTCATTCATTACATAACATATAGGAAAGGACATAAGACACACCTATCAAACAGTTTCTTTCTCCATAGCAAATATGAATGTATAAGATAATGACTTTGTAACTTTTGTCCACATGTGAAATTTATGAGAACAATGTAAACTGGTAAAAAACAAACAAAAATTTTGGTCTGCTACACATTTGCATTTTGAGAGGAAAACTGTTCATGATGGCGGCTGAGATCATTAAATGGGAAGAGTTCACGGCAGTATATTTCCTTTAGCATGAGGCAGACTGAAGTCACATTTTAACTGTGAGAGATCTGTGACACTTACCTGGGCTTCTGGTTTGTATATAACTTATATTCTTTCATTGAATAATCTCCTAACAGAAATGGTTGCTGATAAAGTTGAGTGGAACTGAAACAATCCTGGGACAACCCTAAGACACCAAGGCTAGTGTCTTAGTAAAATAAAAATTGTCTGAGGAATAAAATTGACTAAAGTGAGAAATACACAGATCTTAGAGCTTATAAAACAGGATTTTATTTAAATTTGTGTACAGATAAAAATTTACCAAAATTTCAACAAAAATCTAATTCAAATTCTTCCCCATCACAAAAATGGACATTATGTAAAAAAGTCATATTCTCTCAATTACATTTTCCCAGCTGGTAGATTCTGGGCAGGAAGGGAAGGGGAGAGAAGATCCTGACACTCACAACATAATTTGATCTTCAGTGATGTCTCATCTTGAAATGACTTAATTGCAGAGATTTCCATAAAAATCAGCATTCTTTAGTTTTGACACTAAAACAGATCGTTCTGCTCCAAAATCACAAATAAGGCTTCTGGCTTGATTTTTAGTGTGAGGTAAACAGTATATTCAACATTAAGGCAAATGGGAGAATACATGTCTAAGACATCCGTGTGGACCTTCCACTGTGATATATATTTTGGAATATTCATGAATTTTCTAAACATGTGTTGGAATTAGAACATTGTAAAAACTGTTGCGGTGTGTAACAGCTCTTTGTTTGAATATCTTCACTCTGCCCTTCTGATAGTGAATATGTTAAATGTAATCTTTTCTGAGTTTTTTAAGGCTTGCGATTTTTTTATTATATAGGACTAAATGTCCACCAAAATTGTAAATGAACTAGGGCCTGATTTCAAATTCTCTCTCTCTAGATACATACTCTGTTTGGCCACAGAGGCTCCCTAAAGTCAGCAAAACAATGCTTACTGAGCAGGCTTACCATGACAGAAGACTATGAGGACACAGGACATTAATTTAATAAAGACTATAAGTGAAATCAGATTATTTAGGCTGTCTAGAAATCTTATTCAAGAAAATAGAGATTTAAAATTTTTCATACAGTGATTCTCACTTATCCCCTCCCCCTGTTTTTTCCCAATGGGATAACCATTTTCTTCACAGTGATGAGAAAAACATCCCTTTTTATGGGAAAGTGGACTTCTTCCTCCAAGGGATCAGGACGAAGGCATCACTTCTTAGTCACACTGGCCACAGCTTTCTTGGCTGCATCCTCCAGGTCGACGGCCGAAGTAATGGGGAGCCCGCTGTTATTGAGTATGTTCTGGGCCTCATGAACATTGGTTCCTAGAAGGGTGGGATGATGGACAGTCACTGAAATGAAACAAGGTGGTACCCTGGGAAGTTTCGTACAACCTGAGATTACGGGATACCCGGTTGGGTCTCACTAACACAATTTAATTACAACTCAGTTTTAGCTTTTTATGATCCAGATTCGGTGATTTAGATAGATCCAGATGAAAAATTTATTTTTTTCCTCTTTTCACCTCAAATGTCTAGCATTACAAAGATACTGCATAAATTTTCTCTGGCATTTAAAAAATGGAAATAATGAGGTGTTTATTAACACTGTGAACAAAGAAAGGTAACCACTTGTTCAACTAGTCTGAAAGAGGAAAATCTTCTGAAATGGATTTCTCTTGATTGAAGAGTCTAAATACTGAATCTAAAGAAAAAGCCTCCTGTAAAAGATGAGCAAGAGAAAGGTAAATCAGGGTGTTGGGATGGTACGGAAGACTGGGAATAACACAGCAGGATGCATGGACTCATCTGTTTATAGCTGTATTCCTTTTCACCAGGAAGTGAATTAAATACAGGTTCTAATCAATGTCATTTACAGGAAAGATTATGTGACAAGATCTATATCAAGGGGTGGTCCTGCTAGAAAAGAAAATGAAAGACAGGACTTGCAAGAGACTAATAGACATTTTTTACTGATAAAAGCTAAAGTTTCTGCTGATAATCCACAGTCAAGCAGACTGAATGTGGCTTGGGCCCATACCAGAAGTCATTTGTCTTCAAGACTTCTTGAAATGAAGGGTCCAGATGGGGACCTAACCGAGATCATAAGTTCAGAGAAACTGCCCACCTATGGCCACGAATCCACTGCTTTGGAGACAATGACAATATCTGACACATGCATTTCTGCTTCCTCCTCACCTACACAACAAAAAGGGTAGAGGCCCTAAAAATGAGCATTGTAGCCTCTGATGATGTCTCCTTGCTGGCCAACTCACCCCACTCAAAGGTGTGCTTTGGCGCCTGACTATTTAACATGCAAACTGCTTTTCTGTTCCTTCAGAGTGAATAAGCTCCTAGGAGAAATGTGATAAAATTTAAGGGTCTAATGAAACATCCTTACATCATTTTCTGTGCTTTTATTTAGTTAGCAAGACAGGGCCTATCTATAAACAAAGACCTTGAAAAAGAGGCCTCAGAGGACCTAAGAGTGCAAATAAAAAGGAAGTGCTCGGTCAGAAAGTTTCATACAAAAAGGCAAAGGCTAAGTTAAAGATGAACAGTTGGACTGAAAAGGTGATGGAGCGACTGTCCCAGGACCCTGGGTCCACCAAAGCAGTGCTGAAGGCGACACTTGGCACTGGGTCGTTGGTTCAAGTCTTCTTGCTGCTGCTTGCCACAGGAATCTGAGGAATGGCCTCTCAGGAGAGCAACAACTCAAAGGGCAGGGCAGTTGTTAACTGAAATCCCTAGCGTCTCATCCTGGCTCTGCCGTGTACTAGTTGTGTAGTTTTGGGTAAATCATTTACTCCTTTGAGCCTCAACTTTATCTCCAGACATAACATTATCATCATCTGCCTTATAACTAATATTCATGAAGCATTTACATATGCCAGACGTAATGCTACATGACTTACACGCAGCCTGTGAAATCTTTACAATGACTACGCCTAGGTCCTATTGTCCCTATTTCACAGATGAGATAACTGAGGCACAGAGAGGTTAAATAACTTTTCCACAGTCATACAGGCTGTAAGTGTCAGAGATGGGACTTGAACCCTGTTCTCTCTAATTACACAACCTTAAATGTTCTAAAGATATGCTGGTCTGTTTCCCTGTCTGTGAAACAAGGATAATAATGCTGATAGGATGGGTTGCAATGAGAAGCAAATGAAATAATACATGTGAACATTTCGTAAATGGCAAGGTATCCGCGGCAGACCTGGCTGGCTGTCCACCCCAGATTCACGCTCCTTTTCTACAGAGGAGAGCCGTTACTGGGAGGAAGCTGCCAGACTAGGAACTGCGTTTTCCAGGCCCCCTTTCATCTAGGTGGGGCCGCGTGACTGAGTTCTGGCCAGTGGAGTGTGAGTGGATACTGACACGCCCATAAAAATCTCCAGTGGGACCCTCCATACTGTCTGTTTTCCCTGTCTGCTTTCTGGAATGTTGCCAACTAGAACAACACTGGAAGGCACCTTTTTAAAGATGGCAATGCCTCCATCAGCATGAATGACTGTAGAGCAGAGCACCCCACTCACTCACCCTCTCAGACTTTATATGAATAAGAAAGAACCTTCTATTATGTTAAGTCTCTGACATTTCAGCATTTATCTGCTGTTACTGGAGTTAACATTACTTTAACACAGTACTTTGTAAATGTGGTAGGCAGCTTCTAAAACGGCTCTTAAATGACTGTTCTCCACCTCCTGGTGTTCACGTCATTGTATAATCCTCTCCCCTTGAGTGTGGGATGGATCCACCAACTTGCTTCTAATGAATAAGATATAGCAAAAGTGATGAGATGTCATTTCTGAGACTAGGTTACAAAAGCCCGTGACTTCTGTCTGGCTCCCTCTGACTGTCCGTTTGTTCTCTCTGATGAAGCAACCCACCATGCTGTGGGCTGTCCTACGGAGAGGCTCACGAGGCAAGGAACTCAAGGCAGCCTCCAGCCAAAGGTCAATGAGGACTCAGGTCTTTGGTCCAACAACCACCTGAGTGTGCCTGGGAGTGACTCCTTGGTCGAGCCAGGACTTGACAGGAGCCCTGGCCCACCCCTTGACTGCAGCCTTGGTAAGAGACTGAGCCAGAGGACTCAGCAAAGCCACACCCAGATTCCTCATCACAGAAACTGTGAGATAATCAATGTTCCTTGTGTTAAGCTGCTAAATTTCAGAGCAATTTGTTACACATTGCTACTTAACTAACACAGATACAAAGATCCATTATTCCATTAACATAACCTCAGTGTGCATTTTGATTCATTCGGTAAAGTTTCAGCCAAGCTCCCAGAGGCTGAAAAGTAGGACAGAGGGTAGGGGTGCGTCAGGTGTTGGACACCAGGCTAAGGAATTCAGACATTAATCTGAAGGCAGGCCTTTCCTGTTGTAACGACACAGTATGGAGCAAAGCCCTGACTGACACAGAAGTGAATTGGTCTTTGGACCAGAAGGTGAATGGAAGTTAAATTAAATTTCTCTCTCCGTCACCAGAGACACAGACTAGAATTCCCTCCCCAACTGTCCTCTAATCTGCCAGGGAAGAAATCTAAGTTAGGGTACAAAAGGCTCCTCTCCATCTTCCTTTCTCTTCAGAGTGCCCTCCAATCTCACACACAGCTCCCAAGACCCCCAGGCATCACCCCAAGAGGCAGACTCATGGGCCCGAACATTCCTCATCTTCTGACTCTATCCGTGCTCAGTGCGAGTCCTCCTGTGGGCACAGATCTTACCCAGCCCTGTCAAGCTCTCTGTAACTGGAGTGATAAAGGCATTGGTAGTGCTAGTAGCAGTAACAGCAGCTATCACTTAGCATGTGTCACACATCGATGTGGGGTCCTAAGTGCATTAGCTCATTTCTTCCCCAATCACAACCCCAAGATAGCTACTATTACTATATTCCCTCTACAGATGAGAAGACTGAGGCACCAACTAGTTAAAGGGTAAAGTCTAGCTAGTATGGCTAGTAATGGCTAGGACTTAGTGGAATGATCATTCAAGGTGATCTCTCACTGGTTTGAATAATTTCTGGAACTAATGCTTGAAACATTCTTTCTGAACCTTGAATAACTCCTTCTCATGATTTTGTAAATATAGGTCATGATAATAATGTTGACAATAATACAAAATCTCTACATTTTTGCGGTTTATGAAGTCCACCGACATTACTTGATTTGACCTGTACAATGACCTTGTGAGCTGGCTGTTTATAAATCAGCTCTTTTTCTTTTAGCCGAGAGCACTGAGGTTTAGTGACTGACAGGATTCAGTCTCAAAATCCTTTGCTCTTCCCACACTATTTTGATTTTCTGGAGACTCTTGTTTGGCATTTAAAATCTGTAGCACTTTCCCATGCATGAGATCATCTGAATCTCAAGGATGCTATAAATTATTTAAGAGCAAGGATCACGTACAACTAGGGTGTCTGCTCTTTCCAATTTCCCCTTCTAATTAAACCTACCCTACCCACTGTCTCTTGCTCCAGGAGGCACCAGAGAGTGCTCTCTGAAGACATCCATTGTGGCCAAGACATCGACTGCTCCTGATCTGAGGGTGGTCCAAATACAGACGTTGGTCATTAGCTTGTCCGGTTAGCTTCACTCTCCTGAGAACCTGACGGGGTAGGTACACCTGAAACAGAAAGCAGGAGCAGGAAAAGGGCTTACCAGCCACACATAAGCAGGCAAGAGAAAGGCAGCCCAAATGTGCTGAGAGCAGTGGAGTGAAGGGAACAAGAGCCAGAGGGCTGCTCCTGAGGTCAGCCTCCGACTCACATCCTGCTCCTTCACTGTGGATCCTGCCCACTCTGAGAACTGTCTGTCCAGTTTTGCCTGAGTTCCCTTCCATGTGTATGGATGAAATAAGCTTTTGACCATTTAATTTTTTTGAGACAACTTAAATGCAACTCTTCCTTGCAACCAAGTAGCCTACTACATCAGTTCCTTAATTAACACCCTCTTCAGCACCCAACTAAGTACCAAATATTCCCAAGGGGAAAAAAGGACTGATTTAGAAATCCATTAACCTCCAGACATGCTGGGCCTTTGGCCTTGCGGTACCCTCCACTGGGAGCTCTGCTGTCCTCTCCGCTTGGCTGATACGCATACCTTCAGGAGCTATCTCTTTAAATGGCATTTCTTTCAGGATGCCCTCTTGTCACCACCTCCCAACCGCCAAACTAGAGCAGGGGCTTGTAAAATGAGCTTCCAGAGTACCTTGGACTTCTAGAATCATAGCACTATTGGGATTGCTTACTGACGTTTCTCTCGTCCCCCCTAAACATAAGCTTCCTGAGGGCTGACTTCTGTCAGGATTGCTGACCAGGAG